TTAATTTGGACTTCTCTGTGCATGCTCTTTGACGTGGACCCCCTAAACCTGCATTATATGATTGATAGACAACACCGGTTTGACCGAAAAATGTCAAAAATGAAAATACTGTGGAAACAAAGACACCTCCATCTTGGATGCCCTTGAGGTAAGCTAAACATATCAAAAATAATTTCAAAGTCAACAATCCCTTTAAGTTTATCATAAACTCAATATTGCAAATTTTAGTTTAATTTAATTGAAATACAACAACATTTAGCAGACACACTTTTGAAGTGTATGTGTGAGTGGAGAATACCTGAATGGTTTTGCCATTTCTGGCACGGACAACATCACCAGGTTTGTTTGCTTTTCCACTAGGCATGTTTTCACAGAGTGGTGCCAAACCTGAAACAGGGAAGGTGAGATTAGTTTGTGTGTGAACAGTTATGAAAAAGCAGATGCTAAAGCACAGTGCCTCGTGCAGTGGACAGACCGATGATATTGATCGGAAGATTCAGACCGGCTGCAGTCACAATTGCAGAACACACAGTGGCTGCTCCACCCATATCTGCTCTCATGGCATCCATGCCTGACGAGGGCTTCAGAGAGATTCCACCACTGGAAATGTATGGACACACAAGTTGTGTGGGTGTTTAGACAGATGCTATTGATGTTTTCAGGTTCTGTACAGGTGCAGTTACCTGTCAAATGTGATTCCTTTTCCCACCAGTACAAGAGGAGGCTGTGCAGAGTCTAAAGCACCTTTGTAATGTAGCTCGAGAAAGATGGGGGGCTCCTCTGAGCCTTTAGACACACTGAGAAAAGCCCCCATATGCTCACTTTCAATCCAAGACTGAGGCCTTGAAAGGTGAAAGAAATATACACAGAAAAGTGATGTGTTAAGTCATGTCAAGTTACTTTTATTTATATAGGGCTTTTAACAACATAGATTGTTTCAAAGCAGCTTAGTTTACAGTGATAATGTGAAATTAAAGTAACAGAAATTGATTTGACTTTACAGCAGCTCTAGAAAATTTGTTATTGTCCAGCAAAAGTTAGTTTTGATTGATTCACTTCCATTGCAAAGATCATTAGTTATTAACTTAGGGGCCGCTTACACGACATTCTAACAGGAAACCCTTAATGCGCTCTGACCGGCTCACCTGCAAAATAACAGTGCCGGGTGGCTTGAAAATGCCAACCAAGGTGCGATCACTGAAAAATTTGGAAAAACGTTATCATCTCTGCGTTACCGCTGACGGTATGCACATACGTATTACGTTTTTAGTCTATATACTAATGATCAACTTATTGTCTGGCATTACTGGAATCAATTAATGTCATTATTAATTGCATATATTTCATAAATAATAGAATCATCAGTAAAGAATAGGGTGATTGACTTTAAAGAGGATCTATTATGTTTCTTCATCTACAACTTTCTTTAACGTGTCATGTTGCTGTTTGAGTATGAAAAAGGTCTGCAAAGTTACAAAAGCCCAAACTCCACTCCAAAGGGAGATATTCTGTATATTAGTAAGCACTGTTTCTGAACTTCCTAAAATGCCTTCCTAAATAATTCTTCCCCAAGGCATGTGCAAAATAAAAATGGCCTGGTTGAGTAATGTCAGTAGTGTGTTGAAACTCACTGTTATGGTAAGGAGCATGACAATTCTGAGAAAAGCTCAAAGCAATTCACCAATCACAACACACTGGTCCTCCTAAACCTCAGTCAACATTCACAAACAGCATTGCAAAGTTGTATATATATATATATATATATATACACACACACACACACACACACACACACACACACACACACACACACACACACACACGTATATACATATATACATATATATACACACACACACACGCACACACACACACACACACACACACATATATATATATATATATTAGGGCTGTGCAAAAGTTAATTGCGATAATCGCATCCAAAATAAAAGTCTGTGTTTACATAATATATTTGTGTGCACTGTATATAATTATTTTGTATATATAAATACCTATGCATGCATGTATATATTTAAGAATTATTTGCGCTTAAATTCTGTATATATTTATAAATACATAATCTATATTATATAAATATAAATATTTTATATATGAATAACACATTTTCTTAAATATATACATGCATGTGTGTGTATTTATATATACAAAATAATTATATACTATATTATAATTATAATTATATATTATATACAGCACACACAAATATATTATGTAAACACAGACTTTTATTTTGGATGCGATTAATCGCAATTAACTTTTGCACAGCCCTAATATATATATATATATATATATATATAGACACACATATATATACACACATATGTGTGTGTGTGTATGTGTGTGTGTGTGTAATAGAAGGGCGTTTTTGAACATTGAAACATTTGAATGCATGAAACCCTATTCTAGTAGACCCTCAAAATAAAAAACTTAGTAAAACTGAATACAAAGTTAAATGAACTTTGACATTTACCTCTTGTGGACAGTGACTCTATGAGCAAAAGGTGACAGTTTCTGCTCTATAGTGTTTGCGAACACTGTGGGTGTGATGTGATTGGCTGGAGCTTCCATCAGCTGTCTGGCGAGGTTCTGCCCATCCCCATAGAGAACACCTTTCTTCCAAGCTGAATCCACACTGCTAAGGAACAAGACAGAAATGAACTTACGAGAAAGATGATAAAGTGTCAGACTTAGTATGAGTGTAAGGTGTGCTCTGTGTGAGAATTTATTACAAATCATGCAATCCATTTCCTAAGAAACTGAATACATGAATCTATTTAGTATACCTCCCATGTGGTTGGGTCGTGACACGGACCTTCTTCTTGGTCCTCAGCTCATCATATTCAAAAAGCCCGAGCACAGCGCCCTCTGCAGCTGACTGTCCGTCTCCACAAGTGTCCACCTCCACATGGGCTACCTCCAGATCCTGAAGCTGCCTGCAGCCCACTGTACAAACACAGGCAGACATATTAGGAACATTTTAAATAATGTATTAAAAACCATGTTCTCACTTCACAACACATGTATTGTAAAGATCTGAACACAAAAAACATGCTGTTGTAAGGGGCACTTATTATAATGTAGCCTAGAGTGAAATGAGTAGAGTGAACTTTTATAGATAGATTTTTATATAGATAGATAAATTTTATAAGAAACTAAAGCCTACTGGGACCATTTAAATATATGGATTGTGATTTTTTTCCACGACAATTAACCTCACTGTATCCAAACATTTTAACAATTGAAGGCAGTACAACAAATACTACCAAGAAGACGCACCATTTAATTGTAAAATACGTATTTATGCATTAGATTTCAGTAACTAAATTTGTTTGTTGTTGTTGCAAAAAACAAAAACAAAATCAGCAATCTTCAAAACTCATTCATCGAGATATTTGAGCAAAATAATAATTTTTCAAGTTATTTTGGGAGGAAATATTACTGAGACCCTTCACCCACATTACACACACATTAATGGCACTTACCTGACACAGCTGCACGAATGCTTTCCTTACAGTTGTCCCAATTTTCGTTTCCACACACACCTGTGCCGCTTTTACCCAGACCAACAACAACTACACTAGGGAAGTCCTTTAAAAGAAAAAGACTTGTCAAGATTAATATATCAGGCAATTCTTACACATTACGCATCTAAAGGCAGCCAAAACATCTATAAGTGAGTTCACACCTGATGTAAACCATAGAAAATCCGACTCTTCCCTTTCTTCAGAGGAGGCCCAGATCTACAGAGCAGAGAGGGGGGAATGTGGGCATGTCAAATAATGGATCGTGCAGAAAGGCGCGGTACGGTACAGGAATGCAAAGATCGAGTGACTTACATGGACAGCATTTCTGACAGTTTTCCTGAGACGGTCCTGTCAAATGCCGCTGCAGCCTCCGTGAAATGCACCCCGTCATTGTCTGACAGTTTCTCATACACGCCTAAAACTAAGCCCTAAATAAACCCATTCACACACAACAATAAAAACAAAAACAAATCGCTTGTTAGTGACGTCCATACACAGAAACATTTAGCTGACACGCCAAGTTATGAAACTTACTTTTCTTGAGTTGGAGGTGATATTAGAGTCCGAAAACAGTCTGCAGTTGTGTTTTCGGATTGCAGTAAGCAACACCCTTCTGAATGGTATCAACATCGTGTCTAAATAGACAAATACTGACTCAACCGTGATTCAAACATAAGATTCAAGAGGTAATTCTTAGAAAGCATTACACGTGACATTGGAAGGTTGAGAGAATCGCGCGTGGTCGCAGCTAATGACGTCAACAAAAGACGACGATTTATTACAAAAGTCCTAAAGGGAGTGCACTATGGAAGCTTGTTGTCGCTTATTTGTAAACTGATATTTATGTACCCTCTCATTCTTTTTATTTTATTTTAATTATTATTTTATTATTATTTATCATTATCATTTATTTTTGTCCTTGTTGAGGCATGTGAATTATATGTTGTATGAGAAATTACACTGTACATGCTACTTGTTCACAATAAAGCATTAAAAAAAAGCTTGTTATCGCCACTACATAAAAACAAAAAAAAATTAATTATCGCAATTGCGAGTTTACATCTCGCTATTCTGACTCTTCTTCTGACGGAAATTCCTTTTTCCCTCAGAATTGCGATATAAACTCCAAATTGAGGGGGAAAGGCAGAATTGTGAGTTAAAAAAGACGGGGTTGTTGGGAAACAGCTGTATAAGGGCGATATAAAATGCAAAATCACTTAGATATTATCAAACATTGCATTTTATTACCTTTATATATCTATATACCTAGTAATGACAAACACACTGATGACAAAAAGTATCAAAGGTACCACTGAAATAAAATAATGTAATGCAAACAGTCCCAATAAAGGAAAAGTATTTGGAATAGTATTTAGTTTAGCAAGGCCCGTACTGCGCGTATTCCTTTTGAACTCAGAGACCCGTGTACGCGCTTATGGCGTAACGTTAGGCTACTGCGCATGTCTTTGACTGCGCGTAGGCCTGGCTTTAAATGTTTTCATTCTATTCGCAACCGATGTCGCGCTCTTGTCGCCGCCGATCGAAGGTAAAAGAAAAAGAAAAGAGGTACGAAGTCTAAACTGCGATTGCCTATAGCGTTACGAGCTCGAACTTAACACGCACTTTGAAAGTGTGCTGATTTTGCGGTGATCAGGAGGACTCCGGAGGAGCTTCCCTTACGCATCGCGTGCCACTAGGCCCGATGACCCACATTCGCGCGACCGCTCGAGGAAGTGCGCGTATGAAATTCAGCATTGTATTTTCACACTACATTATAATTGCACCGTGATTATTCATCGCAGCGCTGCATGGTGATCTCGAGACCGAAGTAGCTTAGATCTGAGCAGGCACCTGTGTGGATTTGCGAGGGTGTTTTTCAGTAGGTGAGTTGCCAAATATACTAATCATGTTGTTGATAAAGGTTCCGTGCTGCATACACTGATGTGCAGGAAACCCCAGAAAAGTATACCATTTAGTTTTAGAACAAGTCTTAAATATTAGCACTATCTTTTAAAGTGTATGTTATATCACTGTTTATACTGACTTGCCATTTCATTTTTCAACATGAACGTTTGGTTTCGTTTGGATGTTTTCTCATAATGTCAGTGTCCTTATTATGAAGGTTTGACTGATGCAAATTAATGATTGGCATGTTTATTATAACCGCTTTTGCTGTTGCAATTTACAATGTAATTATTGGGTTGAACTGGAATGATGAACAGAATGTTTGAGGGTTGAGATGCCTTTGCATGCTTTAAAATACACTTCATTAGAGGCTTTGTATGTTATAAACTGTGTGACTTTTGAATTAGCAAGTGAAATGTGCTAACAAGTATGATTATATCCACTCTGACATTATTTAATTTGAGTATGTGACCTTCAGTGCCATGTACAACAATTAACCTTTCACCTCTGTGTGACCAAACAGATTCACAGAAAGAAACATTAGGCTATTAAACTAAATTGTTCATTTGTCATTCAGTTATCTTCTGTTTTATGTGTCTGCTGCAGACTTTCACATTGGCAGGCCCTCATCTTCACTGTCTTCCCAATGCGTCAGGGTGTTTTTAATCCCAGACTGATCCATGAGACGGCGTTATCATGAGTTCCAGAGACCGGTAAAGCAGAAACAGTATTCACTTACGTGCACTACCTTTAAAAAGTGTGGACTTTAGAAAGAAGTCTACTCACCAAGGCTGTATTTATGTGCTCCGCACAGTAAAAACAGTAATGCAAACCCAAACCTTTGAACAGGAGCGTACTTCTTCAAAATTAATTCTGACTCTTTAATATTGTACAACAGAAATATTGTTTAGGTTTTTATTTGTATAAATTCATGTACATGTTTATGCATATGTTGACATCCTGCTTATTAAAATGTAGTAACTTAACACATTTTTCACACTTAAATGTTCAGTGTCCCTCGTTCTGCGCTTACAAGAAAGTACAATATGTTTGACTGGCTTGACCTTAATTTGCATTCAAATGAAGTCTATTTTTAGCCTATTCTCTCTATTTTATAACACAGAAATTATTTTATAATGTTTTATGTAAAGTTCTATTTATCTCTATCTATCTATTTTTAAGCATTTTCCACATCTATTCCAAAATAATAAGCACTAACAATTTAAATTGTTCTTTTTAATAGTAAACTTATTTTTGGATTATCAGTCATCAAGTTCTGTAAACACCGGTTACAGACACGAAAATGTACCTTTAATTCCATTAAGCTGATTGCTCACAAAAAAACCCACTGTCAACATGTTTTCAGGCCATTTCAACATTTATTTTAATGTAACAAAGCAGTGATATCTAAGTGGCTGAGCTGTTTACTTTTTAACTCCTCATATCACGATGGAGGCATTTAAAACTCAATAGGTTCAAGGAGGCACGAGAGACATGGACTTCCTCTGTAACTTAACCTGCTTTGCGTTTTTATTTTTGTAGTATGGATTATTTTCTCATCCAATTTAAGGAGACATGGTCTCCCTTGCCTCCTTGGAGGAAACATCCCTGATAGGCATGTAATTGATTTACAGAAAATAAAAATAAGTTTTTTTATCAGACGGAGAATAAATGTTTATTTTCCCTGTTTTAGGGATGATGGCAGTGTTTTTGATGGGCTGATGGATGATGATGAGAAAGATAAGGCGAAACGGTGAGTTAAATTGCAGATTTTGGTTGTTCTTCTGTTTTATAACATGAAATATCATATTAGTTGTCATGTTGATGGACTACTACTAAGCACTTGGGGTGTAACAATATTTCTTTCCACAATATATCGCACTACAAAAATGCAACAATACGTATCATGGATAGTAACAATATATAGCATGGATAGTCCCCACAAAATAAAAATTACTATGTGAGAACAAATTCAGGTTTCAGAGTTTTAGTGTAAGTACTACATTAAACTACTATATAATATTAGTTATAATGTATAATAATGCAATGTGGGTATATTTGTGGGTACTGATAATGCCAAATGTCTGATGTTACCAGTGAAAAGTGGCCGACATTATTATTTAAAATATATCTAGTCAGTGAAAAAGTGCAAGCATATCCGTCTAAAATAATTCTGTATTTTCAGCTTCAGAATAATGAATATTTTTATTCTGGTGTCACCATTGTCCTTGGTTTACAAGCACAAAGTCCAAACCTATTCATTTAAACCCACAATGTAATATCAAATTTAGCATTTTAATCAACAGTACTTTTTTTGTCGTTGTTGTCAACATTTTACCATATGTCTTGGAATATCGCAATATCGTATTGTGAGTTCAGTATAGTGATATGTATCGAATCGTGACATGAGGTCTACATAACAGATAGTCTTGTCATATATCTTTGGAAAGGTCCCAACTAGCAGAATACAAGCAGCATATTTGTTTCAGTTAGACACCAAACTATACCAAGTATTTGTATGAAAAATCACCACCGTGTAAAAGCATGATGCCTTTGTGCCATATTTTGGTTTGTAACTTGATGAAATATCGGTAAACAATAGTAGATAGCATATCTTTATTTTGGGCAGGAGGTTAAGAACGAGCCCGAACACAACATACAACAATGCGTGGATCACGGAGACATATGACTTGTTTCTTTGCTAAAATTCCCGGGATCATGACACAGTGTATTCCTGGTCGATGATCATCACTCATCAACCAGGATCTCATTACTTGTTACTTATTTTATGTACTTTTATTGTGGTGTTACACAAGTAAATAGGTCTTATGTTCAGTAAAATCACTTGTTTGGAGGGTTTTGGTCATTATGTTTTGAAATAAATGGTTCGCCTACTTAATCCATTGCATGGCTTGAAGACAATAAATAAGCTTGGAATATGTAACTATGGCACGCTCCCTTAATTTTCCTCGTGTGTCTGCTGCACATGTTTTGCGCATGAGCCGCAGGCACCTCAAAACCACACACTTTAATGATGACCTTGCCTAATCGATTGTCAATTTATTATCATCCCTAGTCTAAAGTGATTCATTTTTTTCTGGGTTGGGTTCTTTTTAACCATTTTGCAGCCTTGTCTTATGCTTTGTTGCTTTATTATTTAATATCTCTACTGTCACAGAGTTTCGAGAAATAAGTCAGAGAAGAAAAGGCGAGACCAGTTCAATGTCCTCATTAAAGAACTGGGCACCATGTTGCCTGGAATCACACGCAAGATGGACAAATCTACAATATTGCAGAAAAGCATAGACTACCTGTGCAAGCAAAAAGGTGAGGCGAAAAAGAATTCAAGTTCTAGATGGAACAATAGGGGGATTTTTTTATTTACAGTGCTCTGGAATAATTACAGATCTGTGTTATTTTGTCATGCGCACTACCGATGTATGTGTGATTGGCTATAGTGTTTAACTGCTGCAGAAAATAGACAAATACATAATTTCATGTGATTTACATCTAAGTGGAATGATTTAATCATCACGTTTCACAATTCATTTATCACAGCCATAATTGTAATCTTCATTACCGCTAATAATATTACAATTCTATTACCATACTATTCATGCAATTTCTGAAGAATGTGTGTTGTGAGCTTAATGCAAATGTTCTGTATGCATGGAATACTTGGATGACCTACCAAAATGCCAAAAGGGTGCAGTATAAAACCGATAATACTGCACAGAACTCCATAATGCAGTATGCTTAACCTTCCATTCTAGATTCACAGTTATATCACCACTGATTTTTAGTTAAAGTTAAATATCCGTTTTCATTTTTGTGATAACTGGACTTTACTACTGAATAAAATATGCAGTGTAATGAGGTTTTCTGCACCACTGCTTTGCATATTCAATGCAAATTTGACAAAATGGCATACTGTAGGAACAAAACAAAAGCGCTGTACTTTTTTATTATTATTTAGTACATAATATTTAGTTCACTATATTTTAAAGATTTTTTTTATTCATCAAGGATGCATTAAGTTGATCAATTTAATGCATTTAATACATTCATCATTTTACAAAGGATTTTTATTTCAAATATGCTGTTCTTTTGAAACAAAGCATCCTGAAAGAAACTTTCTTCAGTTTTTCTTAAGCAGCAAATCAGCAGCATATTAGAATGATTTCTGAAGGATTGTGTTACTGAAAAATTGAGTAATGGTTGCTGAAAATCCATCACATTTTTGCCATTGTAATAATATTTAGCTATTTTACTGTATTTTTTGTTGATAAAATGCAACCTTGGTGAGAAGAAATTTAATAAAAACATACTTTTTACCCAAATCTTTTTAAAGCTTTCGTAGTCTACTATTTTCTAATCAACTTAGACGTACACATCCTAGGAAAACTGGTTACAAGGAAGTGTTTGTGTTCACATACAGAAAATGCTGCCCAATCTGAGTCGAGTGAGATCAAGCAGGATTGGAAACCCCCATTTCTTAGCAATGAGGAGTTTACACAGCTGATGCTGGAGGTGAGAACCCGCTTTGGGCAAAATATGTGTTTGTGTTGTCTTGTTGTGAAATATGGTTCCACCAATAGAATATGAGTGCATCCTCATTCATGTTTAATGTTTATAATTTTTCATACATCACTTCTAGATTAAATTTGTAGTTTAGGATTGAAGCTGTGTTAAAGGAGTAGTTCACTTTTTTTTAAAAACTTTTGCTGATAATTTACTCACCCCCATGTCATCCAAGATATCCATGTCTTTCTTTCTTCAGTCGAAAATAAATTAAGGTTTTTGATGAAAACATTCCAGCATTTTTCTCCATAAAATGTACTTCAGTGGGAACCAAACGGTTCAAGGTCCAAAAGACACTTTCTGTACAAACTGCAAACTGTTCAAAGGGCTTTAAAAGATTCCAGACAATGAATAAGGGTCTTCCCAAGCGAAACGATCGCTCATTTAAAAAAAAAAAAAAGTTTAAGTTTTATAAGCTCAAATGCTCGCCTTGCTCTGTTCTGTGATGCACGTTCGTGACTCTCCTGTTCGAACTTGTTCATCAAAATGAACGAATTTTTTTCCCGAGTCAATTCGTTCGTTTCGTTTGTTGAATGTACCAAATGAATCAAAAAAGATTTGTTCATTTTGATAACCGAGTTCAAACAGGAGAGTCGCAAACGTGCATTATACGTGCATTATTCGAGCTTATAAAACTTAAACTTTGGTTTTTTTTTGTTTGTTTTTTGTTATTTATTTATTAAATGAGCGATCGTTTCGCTTGAAAAGACCCTTATTCATCGTCTGGAATCGTTTAAAGCCCTTTGAACAGTTTGCAGTTTGTACTGAAATTGTCTTTTGGACCTTGAACCGTTTGGTTCCCACTGAATTCCATTATATGGAGAGAAATCCTGGAAACCTTTTTCTTTTCTACTGAAGAAAGAATGACATGGACATCTTGGATGACATGGGTGTGAGTAAATTATCAGCAAAAGTTTTTTTCAAAAGTGAACTACTTCTTTAAGTAGTGTGCTTCTTTTTTTTAAGGCGCTGGATGGATTTTTCCTAGTGATGCTGACAGACGGCAACATAATTTACGTCTCAGAAGGCGTAACCTCTCTGCTTGAGCATCTGCCTGTAAGTGAGAGAGTTTGTGTGTGTTTAGTTGTGTGAAGTCAATTTAAATATATTCCTGGAATTCTTCGACTTTTGTATCAGTCGTACGTTCATATACAATCGTATTTGTTTCAGTCGGACCTGGTGGATCAGAACCTTTTGAACTTTCTTCCAGTGGGGGAGCATGAAGAAGTGTATAAAGCGCTAGCATCACACCCAGACCTTGAGAAACTCAACTCTGATTACCACAAGTGTGAGTGTCTAACCTCAATCACTTCCAGATATCTGTTCTGCTGTGGTATTTCTAAAATGCTCTGTGCTGCCTCTGCCTCATCTCAATTTAGATCGTCATGTACCTAAAGTGTTTTTTTGGTTTGTTTGTTTTTCTTAGCCAAGAACCAGATGGAGTTTTGTTGTCACATCCTCAGAGGATCTGTGGATCCCACGAAACCGCCTGTATATGAATACGTCAAGTTTATTGGCAACTTTAAGTCACTTGCCAACAGTGAGTGTTTGTTTTTCCTCTTGATCTAGACTCACTGATTACGAAACCTTATGGTAACTGCATTCATTACTGCCCACAACACATGTTTGTACTGACAATTTCCCTTAACACAAATCTCCACTTCATTCCTCTTCTGTTCTTCTTTATTCTCAGTGCCTAATGCAACCCGGAATGGCCTTGAGGGGGTTTTGCAGCGTTCTTTGCAGCCGGCCTTCGATGATCCAGCCTGTTTTATTGCTACTGTGAGGCTCGCCAAACCCCAATTCATCAAAGTAAGCAGATAATCAATCAGAAAATCCAGAGGAAAAAGTAGATCTGCATTACAAATGCTCTCTCTGAAAACAGATAACCATAGTCATGCATCGTAATAAGGTATTACTAATGTAAACGCACTAATATTGACACAATTGATTGTGTATAGGAGATGTGCATGGTGGAGGAGCCCTATGAGGAATTCACATCTCGACACAGTCTGGAGTGGAAATTCCTCCTATTAGATCACAGGTTTTCACACTTCCTCACAATATCACTTTCTCCATGTTTGTAACTCATCGTCAAGTTTTTTTTTGTCAATATGAGGTCTGTGTGTGTCCTTGTGTTACAGAGCACCACCTATCATTGGCTATATGCCATTTGAGGTGTTGGGAACGTCAGGCTACGACTATTATCATGTAGACGACCTGCATTCGCTGGCCAAATGCCATGAGCATTGTGAGTATAACATGCACAAAAATACATTTGAGACTTTCATTTGCTACCATATTCTTCATGTCTTTCTCTTTATTTGTTTGCTTGCAGTAATGCAATTTGGAAAAGGGAAATCGTGCTATTATCGCTTTTTAACTAAAGGGCAGCAATGGATTTGGCTCCAGACTAACTACTACATCACATATCACCAGTGGAATTCACGACCAGAGTTCATTGTGTGCACGCATACTGTTGTGAGGTACGCAGAGGCACATAAATGTCTACACCATGTTCCCAGACACCCACACACCCCTTTTCCACCAAAATGGTTTGCATTCTTGAGCCAGAACCTGTTCTCAGCCAAGCAAACTGGGCTGGATTTGAACCTCTTTTCTTTTTCTACACTCTTTTCTGCAGTTCTGCTCTTATTTTCAGTTCTTTTTGTCTATAGTTATGCCGAGGTGCGAGCGGAGCGGAGAAGAGAGATGGGAATAGAGGAGTCTCCCCCTGAGCTGACTGGAGACAAGGTGAAATGTTTGAGACCGAAACCTCTGAAATAATCCACTAATGTGGTATAATGGACATGCTGTGTATAATGAACATGCGTGCTAAACAGCTTATCTTAGATTGTGAGTAAAGGGTTAGTTCACCCAAAAATGAAAATTCTATCAGTATTAACTCACCCTCATGTTGTTCCAACCCCGTAAGTCCTTCGTTCATCTTCGGAACACAAATGAAGATATTTTTTATTAAATCTGAGAGCTGGATCACTCCTGCATACTAGTCCATAGGCTTCTTGAGGAATTGAAACTTGCCGGCCTCAAAGTTATTAAAGACATCGTTAAAATAGTCCAAGTGACTACAGTGGTTCAATCTTAACTTTATCAAGCGATAAAAGAACACTTTTTGTGCGCAAAAACAAACAAAAATAACAACTTTAGTCATGAATCAGGTCATGAATCATTTTGAGGTTATCGCATTGGCGGTTAATTGTTGCTTCTTCTTGAACGATTAACATTCATGTGTCTCATTTGCAATAAATTATATTATAAAAAGGTATTCTTTATTATATATCCTATTTTAAGTTTAAATTAATTAAATTGTAGAACTATTTATTTATCAGCAAGCATGCATTAAATTGATCAAAAGTCAGTTATTTGTTCTTTTGAATAGTGTGTTCATCAAAAAATCCTGAAAAAATCCACAAAAATATAAAGCGCTACACAACAATGTTGATGATAATATTAAAAGTTTCTTGAGCAGCAAATCAGCATATTAGGATAATTTCTGGCAGATCATGTGAAGACTGGAATAATGGCTGGTGAACATTCAGCCTGGTCTTCACAGGAATAAATTGCATTTTGTATTTGTATAATTGTATATAATTGCAAATTATATACAATTAAACACAAATGAAAGTAATTATATACAATTATATACAAATTAAAGTATATACAAAAATATAAGAAACAGTCATTTTAAATGACTAATATTTCACAGTATTACTGTTTTTAACTGTATTTTGATCAAATGAATGCCACGTGGGTGAGCATATGAGACTTTCCAACACATGAATATAGAAGTATTTATATCTTAATCTAAATTTTCCTCTTTCTCTGCATCGGTCTCAGATTTCTGGACGTGAATCGCAGTTGAACACCTCCAGTCTGAAGGAGGTGTTGGAGCGTTTCAGTAACAGCCGCACACCCTCCACCTCCTCAAGGAGCTCCCGCAAGTCCTCACACACTGCAGTCTCTGACAACACCTGCACATGTAAGCATTAAAACTAGGGCTTGGCATTATCTAGTTTTGCTCACCAGCCAAAATTATTAGTCATTTGGCATTTTCATTTGGCCACAATTTCGTAGTTGGTAAATTACTTTTTATATGATTAAAGTTGACTGTGGTACTTGAGTTAGATTTACAAGTCTTTTAAATGTAAATGACCACTGTTCAGTAGGGATGCTCCGATACTTATTATCAGTATCAGTACTCCTCATTCTTTGCTGGATCGGGTATTCTATAGTATAATTGTGAGGTTGTAATAAATATTTAAGTCGTTAAGTTCAAGTTCACGTAAACTCTTCCCTCAGCTGTGGCTGTCAATCATTCTCCATTCAGCATTAAAACAGAGCGTTGCGCTCGGTTACGACAGTCAACACGAAACTCCAAGATGATTCAATGTTACTATTATTATACTTGATCTGTAGATAAAGGGTTTCACATAAAACAACTTTATCTTGCTGGACTTTATTGCTGTACCTTAATCATGTTACTTTCTACCAGGTGTCTGTTAGATCACAATACTGGAGTAGAGTAGAGAGCACTATAATTGTTCTTCACGTGCACAGTAACTGAAATTTAAAACTGTTAAAAGAAAAGGATCAATAACCTATTGCATAGATAGATGACTGTATAATGCACTACGCATCAATATGTCTTTCCTTTGTTCTTTGAACTTTTCAATGCGGACTCAGAAGCGCTACGTGCTGTGACTCCATGTTTCGTCAAAAGCATCATTCTGCGCTCGGGAAAGCACTTTGTGCCGCATTGTATTGGAGCCTTTCTTATCATAATACTTTTGCCCAATGAAAGATTATTAATAGCCTTTCTTGTTCTGTCCTATCATATGTTGCTGCCTCATTAAACCACTGCGTTATACATTTATATATATATATACTTACTTTTTCATGAATGTATTTTACAGCAGTTAGAGCAATGTCTAACATTTTACCAGATTTAGTGCTACACTTATTGTCTCTTATTTGTTCCCCACTACATAGTTTTTTTCACTAAATGTTCAGATTTTATACAATGGACTATGTGCACGTTAGCATATGCTAGTTCCAGCTGCGAAACCGATAGGGGGTGTCTAGTTTCTGGTAGCCTGATGGACGACGTAGAGGATGTATATTTCTCCAGATGTCTTGAACATTTGCCGAATATTACAGTCGATTATGTTCATCGACTGGCTAATGATTTTCCTCCAGCTCCCCAGAGCAAGAGAGAAGGGGTTTAAATATTACATTTCTCAGTATTTGCATAATTTTGAAGGGAACGTTAAGTCACAACATCCATGCTCAGACTGATCTCATGAAATTGCGTATGTATGACACGCATCATGTATTTTTGGCATGCTATCAACACGCATATCTCTTTTCAGCGTGTTTATGAATGCCGTTGACTTAACGTTATTACTGTGTGTGTGTGTGTATATATATATATATATATATATATATATATATTGCATATGACCTAGCTCAACCCCATCCCTAAACCTACCCATTACTCCTACCATCCTAGGAAAAAATATCGCTCCCCAGATGTAGATCTACATTTTGTTTTGTTTCGCTCGGACATTTGACGGCGTGTACATACGGTACACGTGTAATCACTTGGACATTAATGTTGCCATGCTACTATGCTATTTGGTAACTGTTATATCTCTCTATACATTATAAAACTCGAAATCATGCGTTAGAAAGTGCATTTTCCAGAAGTTTGTGTTAGCCATTGTTTTGTTTATGATGTTCCGAGGCTATGTTGTTGACAACCACTATCTATATAGAATGTCATTATATAGATCAGTGTTGACAACCACTATACATACAGTATGTCATACAGGGAGTAAAGGTATCCGACGTTGGTTCGTTCCTTATCAAGTTAGGCTGTTTTCACACTTATTTCTAAACAGGTCTCCCTTGCAAAATAGGTTCTAACCCCAGGGGCTTCTCCTGGTTAAAGGGTATAATATAATAAATAATTAGTAGGCTAAAAACTTCCTTTTAGTTGTCATGGATACACAACGCTCCACTCTGTAAAGCGACTGCTTGGGTGCGGTGACAAAAAGCAGATGTGAAATATCGTTTACTTTTCACAATGCAGCAGCGCCTGGCTCCACCCAAATATGAGTGAAAACTGTGTTGATTGACTTGACAATGAACAAACTAACATAGTTTTAGACAAATATATTTAGATAGCTAAGCTTTAGATAGCCGGTCCACTGATGTAAACAACGGCAACCGGAACCGAAGTACCCAACATCCACCCTCAAGGCGGAAGTTAGCATTTTTCTCGTGCACAGAGCGAATTTGTGAGCTTAGAATTATAAGGTTCTATCTCCACTTTTGGTCGAAATTGAGTTTTTGACATAATCTGATCCATTAGGTGTTTATTAATGCATGTGTGGTGTTATTTTTGGGATAAATAAAAAAAAAAGATTAATACATAAAGCTATAATAGAAGATTATACTACATAACAGTTTTGCCAGCTGGGATGTAAAAACTTTGATGCTTAATATCTCAGAACTACCCTAAACGGAGATAGAACCTTATAATTCTAAGCTCACGAATTATTGTGCACAAATTTTACTGCTGAATTATCCACTAATCTAGTTTATAATATCATTTTTGTCTTAGATTTTGATCATATATTATTTTTAATTGTTGTTTTTCTTTATAATAAATTTGTCTGTATTTAGTAGATTGTATTTAACACTCAAAAGAGTGATTTTGTCAGTTCAACACACAGTTATAGAAATTCTAAAATTCTTGATTTAAAAAAAAAAACTGCACTGGTATATGTCGATACTCAGAATTTTTGGGATCGGGTTTTGAGAAAAATGGTATTGGTGCTTCCCTACTGTACACACTCCTAATACTGTCCTATTGAGGGGGGGGACGCGATAAGAAATCTTTGTCCACACTTTTAAAATGACAAATAAATGCGTATTCCAAGCGCTCCACAAAGTAATGTTTGTTTGTACCATATGTATAGCCTACTCAATATTGATTTGGTGAAAGCATGTTTAAACAGTTTATTATTCACCTAAGTTAATCCCTGTTCTAAACGCAATCGCTCTCTCACTAATGTATTCAAATAAATGTAACCTCACTGCTACTTTAACTGAATCTGATTTAGGACAAGCAGAAATTTGTAAGAAATATAACGAACCATAGACATTTATCTGATGAAAATGTAAAATTAGCTGTTATGTCAGAGCAATAGCGGACATATACTGCAGCTGTGCTTCAGGCGTCCCGGTTCAGGCTTCTTAAGCCAACATCAAAGTTTATTCAGAAATTTTAGCCTCTAGTTATTTCAGATGCCTTTTGAGAAGACTACAAGTGAAATGTATTTAAAATTCAACCTGTTAAAGTGGCTAATGGTTAGTGGACTTGGACTGTGTTACACGTCACTACTGAAATCCACTCACGCTTGGTGTTAAAGTCAAGCTCTGATTAAAACCAAAATTGTGCTGTTCTATTGGGTTGTCCTGATTTTGTGCCGGTTTGAAAGCGCTCGTATTTGTTTGATTTCCTTAGCAACTCCCTCTAAGCTACAGACTGATGTGAGCACTCCACCCCAGCCCGCTGTTGATATGACACCCCAACGTCGTTCCCCTTTCAGCACACAGGTGAGACTTGCCTCTTCATCTTACAAAACACTTGTAACTTAACCTTAATCACTCACCAGCTATGAGCATATCTTATTTGTTTTGTTAGTCCATGAGTTCTCAGAACACCAATCAAACTGGATCTTCGGTCCAAATCAACCAACATCAACACCAACCACAGCAGCAGGTTCAGCCTAATGCCCTGGTGAGATTGTTTTTTTGTTCAACAGTTTCAGCTTCATTTTGTGCTGAGAATTTTTTTTTTTTGATTTATTTTTATCGATAGATCAGATAAGCCCCAAGTGGAAGATTGTATAGTTTGAGATAAGATTATATGCTATGCTATGTTTTTATTTTTATGCTTAATGTTGAAGAGAGAAGTGTTGTTCACTGTATTAGTTTCTTCCTGCTTAATTCTTGCCTTTTAATGGGTTTAAATTCATGTCATTATTTTCACATGGACAAATTTGAGATTGTGATTGTATTTACATAAATCTTAATACAAATATTTTGGCAAAAAATAGATCAGATAAGCCCCAATTAAACCCTCAGACACTTACATACGATCACACCAGTGTGATTGATCAACTGCTAAATTCAAAGGTGTTTTCACGCTTTTTGGATGTGCTCAGCATTTGTCACACATCACAATTATTCAGTGTTTTCAACCACATAAGGTTTATTTTAGGTTTCAGACATTTAAATGTCTGAAACCTAAAATTACCTGACCAATTAATACTAGCACTTACTTTCGTATTCTATACTATTTTTTTTTTGTTTTTGTTTTTTCTTATTTAAATATATTTCTGTGTACTGTGTTAGAATAACTGAGACTTGTTCCATACGCACATCCGGGAACTTAACTGTCAATTTTGTCCCCGCCCCCTTTTGGGGGAAAGAAACTAGACTACCCATAGACTTCAATACAAAATAACGGCAAAAACCAATGTCTGTACACGGCCGACAGGCGTAAATAACTTAAATCACTTGTCACAAAACATGTCAAGTATTTATATGTCCACCCTGCCTGCCATAGAGCGTGAAAGATCTAGCCCAGGCTACCTGCCATCATCATCATAAATTCATAACATATACATTTAAGGTTTTTTACCTTAAAAAATGAAATAAAATCATTCACTGGCTTACCTGGTGACTTGATGAGGTACAAGTAAATGTCCGGGTAAGACACCTCTGGCCACTGGGTGGGGTTGTTACACCAGTTTGAAGCTGGGAGAATAAAGGGACATGTTTTTAAATTAGCCAAATTAAGTTTGTGTATGTATCTTTCAGGCTCTTTGGCAGGCAGGGTGGACATATAATTACTTGACATGTTTTATATAAGTGATTTATTAAGTTATTTACGCCTGTCGGCTGTGTACGGACGTTGGTTTTTGCCGTTATTTTGTATTGAAGTCTATGGGGAGTCTAGTTTGTTTTCCCCCAAAAGGGGCCGGTGACGGTTGTGTGTATGACGCATCGTCATGGTGATATGTTCTAAATTAACAGTCGCCTTAAATCATGGTGGGAGCTCAACTGGAATAGTTTTTCTTGATTTTCTTTCTCTTTTTTTTTTCAATGAAACCATAATGTTTATCTCTCTGTGCTTTCTGAATGTAGTTCTCTACACAGTTGAATGCAATGCAGCACCTAAAGGATCAACTTGAGCAGAGGACACGCATGATAGAGGCCAACATTCAGAAACAGCAGGAGGAACTGAGACAGATTCATGAGCAACTGCAGAAAGTGCAGGGTCCGAGCACTCAGGTACACACCGTACGCACGCATTATTGTGTGAATGTTACCATGACAAAAAAATGGTCAATCCGAACAGAGGCATGTGATTCAAATGGTGTCTTTCAGATGATATTGCAGCAGTCGGGTGGTGGACTCAGCGTACAGTTGCCTCAAGTTGGAGGAGCACAGACTAACATTTTAGGGGTTGGGGCACAGACTGGCGTCATAGCTATACAGGGCCAAAATGTGACAAGTACAGCACACAGTGGGACTGTTCCACAGCAACAGGCTTCTCGTTCCCTTCAGCAGAATCTACAGGGTTCTTCTGTTACACAGGTGAGTTTGTCTTTATTCGGTTAGTGGTGTAAATGTTTGCTCTGGCAACGATTTGAATATGATTTGATTCAATGTATGATGATAATTTGAATTTGTGTCACAATTCAGTGTTTCAGATTCGGTCAATTTAGATATATACACTACCATTCAAAAGTTTAGGGTCTGTAATATTTTTTTGTGTGTGTTTTTGAACCAAAGCTGCATTTATTTTATAAAAAAAATAATAAAAACCATAATGTTGTGAAATTATTACAAATTAAAATAACTTTTCCATTTCAATCTGTCACATGATCCTTCAGAAATTAAGCTAATATGACGATTTGGTGCCCAAGAAACATCTCATCAATGTTTATAGTTCTGCTGCTTAATATTATGATTATTTTATACTTATATATATCTCAAAATTGACAGTCAAAACATTATATATATATATATATATATATATATCATAATTTTTTTTTTATGTTTTGACTGTCACTTTTGATCAGATTAATACATCTTTGATAAAAAAAAACATCTTACTGTCCCCCAACTTTTGAACGGTAGTTTATACACGTGTGTGTGTGTGTGTATAAATAAGATTTATGATTTAACGCAGCTATATAAATTGAAGGTATTTATCACCAATCACAACTCTGTTGCAATTAGTTATTAAAAAGTTGATATATAGTTGTTAACACTCTTAAATTAACTGTATATATAGTATCTTTATCTGTGTATTACCTAGAAGTTTTTAAAAAGCCCATTAACAATGACATAATGTCTCGTCTTCCACTTCATGTGGTGACATCATCTAAATAGATGACGCAATTTTTCTGTCTCTCAGCATGGTCCTGTATATAATACCATGATGATCAGCCAGCCTGCCAATGCCAATGTTGTGCAGATACCAAGCAATTTGGCTTCAAAAATCAATCAGGGCAATGCAATTAAACGGTACAGTACATGTCTTTTTACTCCTCTCTCTTTTACTGGACACTTTCTAAAATGTATTCTTATTATCATTATTAATAATATAATCATTTCTTTCTTTCCCTGACCCTGTCACTCTCAGGTTTCCTTCTGGGCAGCAGTTGGTCACCAAGATTGTTACAGCTCCAATGGCGTGTAATGCTGTCATGGTACCCACAACTATGTTTATGGGTCAGGTGGTGACGGCTTACAGCCCGTTTCCACAGCAACAAGGTCAGACACAGACCATAGCACTGCAGACTCAGTCAGTTGCGCCTGCAGAACAACAGGCTCAAGCTACCTCATTACAAACAAGTCAACAGCAGGGGGTGACGCAGCAGCCAACAAAACAGCAGCAACCATTTTTACAGGTAACAAAGCATTTTTTTTTAACATTAAAATTATTTATCTTGTCTATTTAATACGATAGCTTTGTAAATTCAATCATACTATTATATATACATACACAGAAAGCATGCACAGTTTCATTTTGAATCTTTTCAGAACATGAGTGATTCAGCACTACCAATTTGAGATATATAGATATACACTGCTCAAAAAAATAAAGGGAACACTAAAATAACACATCATAGATCTGAATGAATGAAATAATCTTATTAAATACTTTTTTCTTGTTTTTATATTTTAAGTGTTTAAAGGGTTAGTTCAGCCAAAAATGAAAATTAAGTCATTAATTACTCACCCCCATGCTGTACCAACCCCGTAAGACCTTCGTTCGTCTTCGGAACACAAATGAAGATATTTTTGATTAAATTTGAGAGCTGTATAACTACCACATTGGCTCCTAAGGGACTGCCTCTTGACGGCCCAGAAAGTCAATGAAGAAAATGTTTAAATATCCCAAGTGACTACCGTGGCTCAACTATATGTTTATCAAGCGACGCGAATACTTTTTGTGCGAAAAAACAAACAAAAATAACGAGTTTATTCGACTATTTCTTTTCTTCCTTGTAGGCCAGAACGAGACTTCCTTAGATTTCCACGACACATGCGCGAGAATTGCGATCTGCTTACACTACTTCAGATCGCAATTCTCGCGCATGCGTCGTGGAAATCTAAGGAAGTCTCGTTCTGGCAGTCCCTTAGGAGCCAATGTGGTAGTTATACAGCTCTCAAATTTAATCAAAAATATCTTCATTTGTGTTCCGAAGACGAACGAAGGTCTTACGGGGTTGGTACAGCATGGGGGTGAGTAATTAATGACTTAATTTTCATTTTTGGGTGAACTAACCCTTTAAGTGTTCCCTTTATTTTTTTGAGCAGTATATATATATATATATATATGTGTGTATGATTTAAAAATACACAAAATTATAAAAGTTATTTTGTTAAATTTAATGACAGCTAAAATGGCTTTTTTTCTTTTAATATATTTTGATATCTAATTTATTCCTCTGATGGTAAAGCTGAATTTTCAGCATCATTACAGTCTTCAGTCTCACATAATCTTTCAGAAATCATTTTAAAGGGTTAGTTCACCCAAAAATGAAAATTAAGTCATGAATTACTCACCCCCATGCTGTACCAACCCCGTAAGACCTTCGTTCATCTTCGGAACACAAATAAAGATATTTTTTATTGAATCTGAGGGCTGTATCACTCTTCCATAGACAGCCTGAGGGACTGCCTCTTGACGGCCCAGAAAGTAATTAAAAGAAAAGGTTTAAATATTCCATGTGCCTACAGTGGCTCAACTATAACTTTATCAAGCGTCGAGACTACTTTTTGTGCGAAAAAAAACCCGTAAATAACGACTTTATTCGACTTTCCATTACTTCCTTATGGGCGCATGCACGAGAACTGAGACGAGACAAGACGAGACCGTTCTTCTTCGACTACTTTTTGTTACCGGCTGCTCACCGCTTAGGAGTTTTACCGCCCCCTACCGTATAAGATGACGTACTGATATAGCCGGAGGCGCAAAACGTTCTGTTTACAAGCAGTACGTCATCTTATACGGTAGGGGGCGGTAAAACTCCTAAGCGGTGAGCAGCCGGTAACAAAAAGTAGTCGAAGAAGAACGGTCTCGTCTTGTCTCGTCTCAGTTCTCGTGCATGCGCCCATAAGGAAGTAATGGAAAGTCGAATAAAGTCGTTATTTACGGGTTTTTTTTCGCACAAAAAGTAGTCTCGACGCTTGATAAAGTTATAGTTGAGCCACTGTAGGCACATGGAATATTTAAACCTTTTCTTTTAATGACTTTCTGGGCCGTCAAGAGGCAGTCCCTCAGGCTGTCTATGGAAGAGTGATACAGCCCTCAGATTCAATAAAAAATATCTTTATTTGTGTTCCGAAGATGAACGAAGGTCTTACGGGGTTGGTACAGCATGGGGGTGAGTAATTCATGACTTAATTTTCATTTTTGGGTGAACTAACCCTTTAAAATGATTTCTGAAAGATTATGTGAGACTGAAGACTGTAATGATGCTGAAAATTCAGCTTTACCATCAGAGGAATAAATTAGATATCAAAATATATTAAAAGAAAAAAAGCCATTTTAGCTGTCATTAAATTTAACAAAATAACTTTTATAATTTTGTGTATTTTTAAATCATACACACATATATATATATATATATATACTGCTCAAAAAAATAAAGGGAACACTTAAAGGGTTAGTTCACCCAAAAATGAAAATTAAGTCATTAATTACTCGCCCCCATGCTGTACCAACCCCGTAAGACCTTCGTTCGTCTTCGGAACACAAATGAAGATATTTTTGATTAAATTTGAGAGCTGTATAACTACCACATTGGCTCCTAAGGGACTGCCAGAACGAGACTTCCTTAGATTTCCACGACGCATGCGCGAGAATTGCGATCTGAAGTAGTGTAAGCAGATCGCAATTCTCGCGCATGTGTCGTGGAAATCTAAGGAAGTCTCGTTCTGGCCTACAAGGAAGAAAAGAAATAGTCGAATAAACTCGTTATTTTTGTTTGTTTTTTCGCACAAAAAGTATTCGCGTCGCTTGATAAACATATAGTTGAGCCACGGTAGTCACTTGGGATATTTAAACATTTTCTTCATTGACTTTCTGGGCCGTCAAGAGGCAGTCCCTTAGGAGCCAATGTGGTAGTTATACAGCTCTCAAATTTAATCAAAAATATCTTCATTTGTGCTCTGAAGATGAACGAAGGTCTTACGGGGTTGGTACAGCATGGGGGTGAGTAATTAATGACTTAATTTTCATTTTTGGGTGAACTAACCCTTTAATATGAGATTTGGTGCTCAAAAAATATTCATTATTATTATTATTAATGTTTTTTTTTTTAGGATTCTATAGAAAGTTGAAAAGACCAGCTTTTATTTGAAATACAATCTTTTGTAACATTATAAATGTCTTTACTGCAACTTGATCAATTTATTTTATCCTTGACGAATAAAAGTATTGATTTCTTTTATTTATTTCCCCCAAAAAAATTAAATATAAATTCTTACTGACCCCAAACTTTTAAATGGTAGAGTTTAATGTTATAAAAGCTTTTTATTTCAGTTAAATTCTGTCTTTTGAACTTTCTGTTCATCAAAGAATCTTGAAATAAAAATGTAAATAAATAACTGTTTTACACATTTAAAATAATGAGAAATATGTCTCGAGCATCAAATCGTGAAGAATCGTGTGACTCTGAAGACTGGAGTAATGATGCTAAAAATTCAGCTTTGATCACAGGAGTAAATTGCACTTTACTATATGTTTGCATAGAAAAGGGCTGTTTTAAATAAAATATTATATATTATTAATAATACATATATATATATATATATTTTTTTTAAATAAGTGTTTGACGCATATCTAATTTTCTGCTGTGTATTTGTCAGAACACACGCCTTCTCCATGGCAACCAGCCTACACAACTGATCCTTCAGGCTTTCCCTATTCAGCAGCAAGGCACATTTACTCCATCACAGCAGCAGCAGCAGCAACTGAAACCACACACCCAAAAACAGCAGAAAACCTCTCGCCAGACTGACAGCACTAGTGCCCAGTCTCAGTAACATCGATAAGCACAGCCTGCTCACATCATCTCCTCTGGATGTTTGTTAGTGCTGAACTCATTTGAAAAAAAAAACAACCTTTCCTGGCAGCATCTTGAATGCTTTTCAGACTAGGAACTCCCTCAACATGGCAGCTGCGAGGAACACAACACCACCAGATGGACGCTGTGCTGGCAACCACACAGAATGTCTCACCAGAGCAACAGGTGGTTGCCAAACTCATTATTTATTTCAACAACAGAAAGTATAGGATTGCTAGCCTTTGCATCGTCTTTGCCAAACAGCAAACCTCGTTCTCAGGCTTTCATCGTAAACAGCCCAAAGAACTGAGTCTATCTTTACAGTCTCGTGTACCATACAGTGTAAATACACAACCGTAAAGGAACAAAGCAAGATATTGAATATTTTATATGCTGCATGAAGTGTAAACTTTCATTTGTACTTCCAGTTTTGTTTTTTAAAGTATTACCCTTAACGGTTTTATATTACGCGTAGAGTGATGCTTTATACTTTTAATCGTTCCCTTATAGTCTCTTTACGTATAGTTAGGGTTCATAATAGATTGTCCTTGAGGTTTTTTTTGAAGCATTAGAATTGTTTTAGATTTTTTTGGGAGGGTGTAATTATTATACCCCGAATCTCTACATCCAGAAAAAGTCTCAGTTTCAGTTTATTTCTAATTATCAGTTTATTTCTAAAGACGTTTAATGCAGAAGAATCAAATTTGACATTTGAAGTGCCAACATTTTAATTTGTAAAAAAAAAAAAAAAAACTATTTCCAGTTTTTGAATGTTGATTTGCTTTTTAGCTGAGTCATAATAGTCCAGTAAAAAAGTTTTTGTGCACCTTTTCCCCGCTACATATAGCACTTATTGTGTTTCTACACACTAAAATAGTCCATCCTTCTAGTAATTGTGACCTAATGGTTTAGTTTTTATGTGCATGGATGGTACTTGTATTTTTCAGAGAATAATACGCCATAAATAAGCTTTCGATTCCTTTCATAAATGTTCTGCCTTATGGCTTTGGGAACTATGCAAGAAGCCACATCTAAGGCAGAGTGTTTCTAAATGTGTTATTGAGGATGGTCTGGAATACTGTGGACCTTTAATTCCCATTTTCAGGAAAAATAATTATTATATTGTACTCTTCCTTGTTTTATTTCCAAAGTTGTAATTTAAACCGAAGCAGCTGTAGAGTCTTAAAGTTAAGTGATATTCCTTTTAACTGCTTGAATGTGTGAGTGAGAGAGAGAGTTTAAAATGCAGGCTATTATATCAATAACAGTTTGTGACTCTTCCAGTATCGCTGTGTGGGTTGCTACAGTGTGTATTAACCTCAGCGATGACCAATCAGTTCTTGCGTTGCAGTATCTCGGTATTCTAGATGTTTCCCCATTTTAGCAATATACCTCAGAAATGGATTTATATAAGAAGTATTGAAAGCAATTTTATTTTCATATGGCAAAAGACGTTCGTATTAAAACAGTATTGCTGTGTATAGACCGGGAACACTGTTAGAAGACTTGTTAGAGCTGAAGGGTTTATGGAAACTGAACAGATTTTTATATTGTTGAGTTCTGGAATGCCCCTAAAGTAGATGTCCAGTCCAATTCCTCTAATTTGTCCTATTTTCTTTTTTAGTTTTGTTGTGTGTTTCATTTTGTTGTGCACTGAAACCCTCTAGTGTGTTAGTTGTTACTGTTGGAACTGATTTTTCGTTGTGTGTACAATCATAAATTACCCCCAAAAAAGCTACTGACTGGTTGAAGAGTGAATTGATTGGGACTTTAGATGCCATTCCTGGATATTTCAACCATCTGTATCCAAAATGAACCTTTATTGTGTACACTGTGTATGCAACCAAAAGAATGTGTGCTTCCAGAAAATGATGGTTATTGTTTGTGGCCCTAGAAATTTGATTAGTGCTTCTGATTTCTGAGTAGATAATCAGCGAGTTGAGTAAATGATAAAATAATAAATCATTAAAGGAGTAAATGTGTGTAAAAGGTGTTACCATAACCTTTTTATTATTATTATTTTGTTCATACTGAATTGCTGTGCACCAAAACCATGTTAACAGGTCATATCACCTTCAATGTGACTGAATTTGTTGGAATTGTCCTCAAAAAAAGAGAGATTTTTCCCTTCATAATATTATATCTTGAAATAAAGAAAACAATGTAATTCACATCGTCTATGATCTCTTCAAGATTTGCTTTTTTAAGTGACGTTTATACTGCAAAATGCGGTACAAAATGAAATTGACAAAATAATGACCCTTTGCAAACAGGTTTTTTAACCCTCAGGTGCTCTTCGTTTCGGAGTCACACTTGTTATGTTCCCGGTCAAAAGTGACCGGACACCTAAAAATTACATTTCCTCCATCCCATCAAAACCAATGCAATTTATTTTTGTTCTATAATATTTATTCTTTGTAATTTAGTATTTTGAGACAATTTGATTGAATTTATTAATATTTATGCAATATTTATGGTCTATTTTGCCATGGAAAATATATATATATATTTTTTTTTTCAAAAAATTATTAATGCAGTATTTTAGTTTAACATAGAGTCTAGGCCTTCAGAAAAAAAGTATTTTTTGAAGAAAATTAGCACCATCTGGTTACAGTATAGAGAAAAAGCGTTGAATCATGGTGTAACCACTAGATGACATGTACAGCTCTCTATGGAGAAGCATGTGAATTCCCCAGATGTTTATGAACACATTTTTTTTTTTTTTTTTTTTTTTTTTTGGATTTGAATATATAGTTGAAACTCAATCTCAAAAACGATTTTTTATTAAAAATATTTTTTTTAAAAAATAAAAGATTTTGTGTTTTTGTCAATTTCCCATTCATTTCCTGTGGGGTCATTTTTGACCAAAGACCACAAGTGTGACTATTTTTTTTAAGACCACTTAGCATGCTCAGATCATGACCTCAATTTTTTTTTGTGTGTTCACATACATAATGCCATAAAAGTCACTAAGTTTCGTAACATTCAGATGAAGCTGTGATTTTTAAAAATCAAAATTTATTGGTGTATGTGTATAAAAGTGTGTTTGTATGCGTGTGTGTGTGTGTGTTAAGGGATGGCTCGATACCACAATTTTGACTTCGGTACGATACCAGAACCTAATACCTCGGTATCGATACTAAATCGATACCACAGTCGGGGGAAAAAAAAGAGTCTAAATTTAAGTGAATTGAAACAACTATATTAAACACTGCTTGAAACTCTCAACTACCATATGTGTAAAGAAAGTATCAAAAAACAAAAACAGATCAAAATTTTCAAAATTAATAAATTCAGTCAAGGAACATACAGTAGGTAAAATTTTGATTTTGGAAAAGAAAAAAAAAACCTGAAATTATACAATTAAAATAGGTTAATATCTATAATAATAATAGATTAACATATAATAATAGAATAATGAAATGGCATGTAAACCATTAGCTGTCATGCATCAACAGAGAATTATCAACATGTATAGCGTTTATTCATATTGGTTTGCTTACTGTTTGTGTTTGGGTATAGATTATGCATATAATGCATTGCAATGTTATGCTAAACATGTATTACATTTTTAGGTCATTTTACTAGATTAATCAATGCTATATTGTTAGGCCAGGTTTCTTAATGAATTTTGACAAATGTAGCTTAATTGTAGGCTAATATTATTAATATTTATATTACTACCATCTCTCTCTCTCTCTCTCTCTCTCTCTCTCTCTCTCTCTCTCTCTCTTTCGATGGGTCGCAACAGCGGCAATAATGCCATTAGTTTTTGCTATTACTTTTATTCTTTATTAATTCAAATTAAATGAATATGTTTGTTTGAAATTGCAAAAATGATGACACCTAAACTGAATTGGTTCTACCGTGACATTCAAGAATAAGATTTGATCTCTCGTGTTTACCATATTTAATTGATAAGCTCTAATGTATGTGCGCTGTTCAGTGTTCAATAAAAGACTAAATTAAATCAGTTGAATGATGAACTCACCAGTCGATCTCTGAACTCTTTGAACTAGTCAGGATGAGCAACTGACGAGCGCTTCGGCAGATTTGATGTGTTGCCTCCCATGGAAACACTTTATTGAAAGCAACGTTTGCAGAGTGGTGCATTCATTGAGGTCTGTTACTTTACTATTCTCATTACTTTAGCAGGCAAAGTAATGCTTTATTTCACTGATACTTCTCTCTATTTATTAATTTCGGGCGTGTAGAAATTCGAATGAGCTTCGTTTGATCCGTCGTGTTCCTTCGTTTGCCGGTTTCGCGTGACCCGCGTCAGTTTCGGTAGCGCACTGCCGCCTAGTGGAGAACTTCGGAACAGCAGCGCATTAAATACCGAATTTAACAAAATTATGATATTGTACAGTTTGAAATTTATTATATACCGGTATTTTTGTAATACCGGTATACCGCGCATCCCTAGTGTGTGTGGTGAATTGTGGCCGATTTGTAGATTGCACGTACAAAAATTCAGAGGTTTTTTTTGTTTGTTTTGGGGTTTTTTTGTCAATTTCCCATTCATTTCCTATGGGTCGGTCATTTTTGACCGAAGACCACAAGTGTGACTATACTTAGCATGCTTGTATCATGACCTCAATTTTTTTATTGTATATTCACATACATAATGCCATAAAAGTCAGCAAGTTTCATAACATTCCGATGAAGCTGTGATTTTTAGAAATTCAAAACAGAAAATTTTTCGGTCAGAAATGACCGAAGAGCACCTGAGGGTTAAATACTCCTATTGTCTTGTCATTGGTCAGACAAACAGATAGTCCCACCCCAAACTCGCACCATTGGATTAGCTGTTCCAAATTAGAAGCTGAATATTAAAACTAACATCAACCTTAACTTTTAAGGAATTGCATTTAGAAATACATTTTCTGTGTTTTAAAAATACACAATTCATGCAATGGCTCCTTTTCCACTGTTCATTTATTCTGTATAAAAACAGTTACATCATTCCTTACTGCTATTTTATTTCTGACAAACTCTACAAGTTGAAAAAATAGCTGGACACATCAGATATTTACAAAGTCAAATCTCATAGCAGTTCAAGTTATTTGTCACAGTCAACCTTCAAAAACATTGAATTTGATTTTTTTTTTTTTCCATCCCAACCAACATCCAATCCTTCGAACGTGGTTTAGTTGGCTGAATAATTTAGCATAAACCTTGGATCTACTGGAATAATTAGCAATGAGCAGATACCTGATATGCTTCTCATCTTTTAAGCATGCTTTGAGAACCCAGAACTTGGTTTACTCCAGCCAAATTAGCCACTTTTGAAGAAAAGAACCCAGTCAGTTATTATATCAAACAATGTACATTTCAAATATGATTCTCAGTTTAACACCGCAACAGATTTTATTTATATACGCACATTCAACAACTCAAAAGTTCAATTCCAAACTAAAGAAAAAATGTAAACATCCTAGTTTTCTTTTCATCATTAATAAATATGACAATTTTAGTTAAGAGAGGGATCTTACATAGCATTAATCGATAATGCTTTTATAATACTCACCTGTGAGTAATGACATGCTGAAAACAGAATGCATGCACTGTTAGACCTTACCAGGTTTTTTACAGTAAAATACTGGCAACACTGTTGCCAGTAAATTACTGTAAAAATGCACTAAAACTCAAGTTAACTAAAAAATACAACTTATTAGTTTTAGTGCATTTTTACAACACTGTTGCCAGTAATTTACTGTAAAAATGCACTAAAACTCAAGACAACTAAAAAATGCAACTTATTAGTTTTAGTGCATTTTTACAGTAAATTACTGGCAACAGTGTTGCCAGTATTTTACTGTTAAAAAACCTGGTAAGGTCTAACAGTGTGAATGAGAACCTCCATTCGTTGATATTAAGTGCTTCAGTTAGAGACACATTAAACAAGATTCACTTTGGGTTTAACATCTCTACCAATTACATACATTACTGTTACTTGCACTAAAACATAATCGCAGTTGTTTACCCAGTCAAACACAAAGACAAAAAATACACAACACAACATTATCACAGAGACGCTCACTACACGATGATGTCATCAGTAGAGCTGGTCATTTATCTGGTGAGGTAACATTAGGTTCTATATCTAAATGCGTGCCTGGCCATGGTAGCTGCTCATGCACTCAAAATACTATAATCAATACAATAAAATGGAGCCCAGCTGCATTTAGAAAAATACGTTATATGGCTGGACATGCTGTGTCTCGAGTAATTTGAAATATAATGGAAGACAAGGCTAATGGAGTTGCAGAGAGCAGGGGATCTTAGGAGATGCCCTTAAAAGTCAGTATTTAAATGGAGGTTAAGGCTTTTAGGTCAAACCCATTGAGGAAAAATGATTTTGAGGCAAAACAACGAACGTGATGTCATTTATATGCTCTGATGTTCCAGAAAAACTTCATTTGTTGCCTGCAACAGGGGTTGAGTTGAGGAGGCTGTTGAGCTGCCCACAGAACTCAGCCGTTGTGCCCTCTGCAGGTCTGGAGGAACAAACGCCTCGCAGCTGCCACTAGTGCTGAGATTCAAGTAATCCTGCAAGACACAAATACAAACCTAACTGAAGAAACTCGTTCAATGTCAGCAGTTTTTGAGATGAGCTGAGTCAGAACGTACGTGTTTGGTGGTTTCCGACAGCAGGAGTTCAGTCCTTTCCACCAGTTTTTTAAAGGTTGGTCTCTTCAGAGGGTCAGCACTCCAACACCATCTCATTACCTCGTAACTGATAATGCATACACACAAGCCTCATTTTCATGCCCATCAGACAAATGTTTGGGGTAAAATAAAATATATATATGTATTATTTTTTATTTTTTTATTTATTTAACAAGGATGCGTTAATTTGATCATTTCTAATGTAACAAAAGAACAAAACTTGCGCAAACACTTCCAGCAAAAAAAATCCTAAAAATGCATCATGATTTCCACATAAATATTAAAGGAGTAGTTCACTTTTCTAAAAACTTTTGCTGATAATTTACTCACCCCCATGTCATCCAAGATGTCCGTGTCATTCTTACTTCAGTCAAAAAGAAATTAAGGTTTTTGATGAAAACATTCTAGCATTTTTCTCCATAATGCACTTCAGTGGGAACCAAACAGTTCAAGGTCCAAAAGACAGTTTCAGTGCAAACTACAAACTGTTCAAAGGGCT